TATCGTTTGCTTTATGTTAGAATGTATAAATTCTCTGTTTAATATAAGATCATAAGATGAAGATTGTTTTTTTATACTTTTTTTATACTTTTCAATTCACAATAAAGCAATATTTTATAATCAAATTGAACTTCGTAGTTCAATAATTGGCATATAAAAAATATTCTCGATACAATTGTTTTTTTATATTTTACATTTAAAATACAAACTTCTATAAATTATCAAATTGCACATTTATGATGCGAATGAGACGAATTATATGATATTTTTAATAATAATATAAATAATAAAAATAGTTCTTTTGGAAAATTATACATTGACAAAGACATAGTTTCCATTCCTGATGGTAATGCTGAAACTTTTCTAATAAAACTACATTTAATTGGCTTACTTACAATCCATCTAGATATTGATTTTTATTTTTAATTTTATTTAAAATGACAATTACTCTAAAATGACAATTCTTGAAATGGAATCATAAAATTTTTTATTTTTAAGAAGAAAAAAACAGTCACGTTAAAAATTTAAATAGAATCACAGAAATATACATTTGGTTAAATTTAATTTAATCGTTCGAAATTGAATTGAAATTGAAATTCAATCAAATTGAAATTGATACTAAAGATAGAATAGAATATACATTTTGATTTGAAAATAGCGTTTGTATAATATTGCTAGATGTCGAAAATTGAAATTAATCTTATTAATTTTTAATTTACGAGACACATCTCGTAATTTGATTTCTTAATTTGTTATAACGTGTAATGTCAATAATATTTTTTTCTTGAATTTAAAAATAATTTTTTTTCAATCCATTTTTTTTCTATATTTTTCATATATAATAATATATTATTGAAAAATAATCTTATTTTTTTGACAAAGAAAATCTTCTTATACATAATATTTTGTTTGATTTTTTTTTTTTACATATCTTTTCGTTGAATCTATATCTGTAACTCAATTTTTTTTTTCATATATATTTATATAATTTTGTTTTGAAAATTTTGCGCTAAAAATTAATTCAATTAATCAATTAATTAATATTGAATATCAAGATCTTGAAAATGTTGAAGATGATCAAGATTTTCAAGACTTTTAGATTTGAATTATGTTCGAAGTAATTTGAATGAATTCACGGTCTTGAAAAACTTCGAATCGTTTCGAATGAATATTATGTACTAATAAATTCGAATCACTATTAAAATGTGACTTTCAAGTCCAAAAAATCTCGTAGGCCATGAAAGTTTTAAGGTCTTGAAAGTTTTGATGGATTCAAAACTCATAAAAGATTGGAAATTTTATCTTATTCAATATCTATTTTTCATTTTAAAATTATTTGCCATGTCTGCATAAAGAATAAGAATGAAAAATAGACAATGCAAGTGAAATAGAATAACATTCAAGAATTTCGAAATTTTACATATTGAGAATTTTTTTTAATATATATTTTAAAACTTCTAAAAAGATTAAATAATCTTTCACGATCAATCAAGATTTTTAAGAATTTTTAATTTTTGAAAGATTCGAATTTCTTGCCATTTTAAAGATTAACGCGATTTAAAATCCCATTATTTATATATTTATATTAATAATTTCATTTTCAAATTAAAATACTTAATAAAACTACTTAATAAAACGAATTTCAATTTTTAATTTAATTCATAAATATATAATATGTAGATTTATTTAGATGATAAATTTATTATTATTTTTTCTTAATTATAATAAAAAACGAAAAAGAAATACGAAATCTTTTAAATTCATAAGATTATGTTTTTTAGTAACAACTTGATTTAATTGAATAAACATCTATTTCAATTTGAAAGAAATAATACATACATGTAATAGAAGAATATATTTTTTATCTTTACTTTTAACAATTATAAAATATTTTTATTTTATATTTACATATTTAATTTTCAATTTATGGAACAAAATAAATTCTGGACAAATATATATGTATATTTCGAGTCATCTGTGAAAAGACTCGAGACAAAGATCGAAAATGATGATCTTTGTTATATACTATTATGACATATCTTGGTTACATATTAATTAAACGATTTCAAATTTAGGCGCTGACGTAAATGCTACTTCGCCAATCATCGGCTCGCCCCTCCACGTTGCTTGCGCGGACAACATTCCGAACAGATTGGAGATTTTATCGATGTTGTTGGAGCGAGGAGCGGATCCGAACTTGGTGATACGGAGCGACGAAGGTCCAGCATTGCGGCCAGTTCTCGCCGAGTACGTCGCTTCAAACGAGAATCCCTCGGTAGAAGTGGTAGCCCTGTTGCTTAAATACGGGGCGCGAGTTGTCATCAAGACGCAGTTCCGCGATCCTCACGGTATATTGAACTCCCTTCAGAACACGGCTGATAAGCCACGGTTGCTCAAGGCATTGTTGGAAGCAGCGGAAAGCTTCGATCCTTGTATGATAAGAAGATCGAGCAGTTTGACGGACGCGCAAAAAGAACTTGTCATGGAAGCGGCGCGAACACCGTTGCCTTTAACCCACCAAGCAAGATTAATAGTACGTAAGCTTTGCGGTACCAAGCTGCCCAAAATTGTACGAAAATTACAGCTGCCTCAGTCGCTGCACCGCTACCTTCTCTACGATTTCCATTGAGATAATTGCTCGATTGAGTTTTCGTCGTGAATGTGATCCTTCACATCAAAAATGACGTGTTCCTTCTCCTTGTTCGTTTCGCTCAACTATCATCATTGGCATTCTCTTTCGTTACGTTATCTCTTATTACGGTATTTATTCGTTATACGCTCGTGCTCTTTTTTATATGTATAATATGATCGAGAATCATCCCTACCAATAATATTACATTGAAATAATATTTTCTATCTATAATATTTTCTACATTAGCTATCATTGTCTACATTCGTCGTAGCAGAAATGAAACGAATCTATATACAACTCGTAGTCGAGTTGTGAACGAATAAATATGTATATTAAGAGTTTCAAGTATTAATTTCATCAGAACACGTTATTTATCGTGTTTGATACTTATAACGATTGATGTCAATTTATATATTACATACTTATCTATAGTATGTGAATATTTTTAATTTGAGCGTAGATGCACCGTTCGTTCGATCAGAATTATAAGGAGATACATATACACAATCTCAAATTCTATTTCTTTATATATGACAAATATTTTTGATGAATATTTTTTGCAATGTATGAATTTTATGTCAACTATTATATTCATGCTTTTTACGTCGTCTTTATTCTTCTTTTCTCGAAGTAATTTTGAAATGAGACTCGTCCACGACACTTTTGTACCTTTATTTAGAACACACGCTAATATTCACGAAGTTGTGCGCGTCCACATAAATAAAATAAGGGCGTTTATATGAATAGCGGATGATTCTGTCTCTTTGTATGTATGTATGAATGTATGTGCGTGTGCGTTTGTGTACCGTACGCGTAGGTATTTTCAACGTGTATTATTGTACATACATATTTTATATACACTTGGTGCTGTTAAGTGTCAAGAGATGAAGTAAAATAAATAAAGAATTCTATTATCTTTATGTTTATATATATATTTATATGTATATACTTGTTATAATGAAAAAATGAATGATGAAAATCGTCTTATTTAGAATTACGAGTATGTTTTTTTGGCATACATTCATATAATGTGCCTTGTGATTAAAATTCGCGGGAAAAATTTTAATAAAATTTTCATATTAAATAAACAAACAATTCCAAAGATAGAACAATATGAAATAAAATATGGAATAAAAATAAATAAGAAATTGATAAAAAGTAAATCTTATTTGTATGAGAAAAAAAGCATGGATGTAGAAAATATATAATATGTATAACAATATACAATAGTATACATAATTATCATTGGCTACAAAATCGCAACGCATAGAATGTTGGCCGATAAAGTATGACGTCGATTCATTCTCAACTACTTCATCTTATACTATCTTATTCTATACTCGAAATAGCAACCTCGATACGGTGACCCGCGTCAAAGCATTCGCAATCGTTGCATCATAATTTTAATTCACAGTGTGGAAATTATACGCGCAATTTATCTTTAATGCCAATTTCGATACATATATGTACATATATTACTACTTTCATTTTTTTTTTCATATAATAGAAGCAAGAATTATTATTATAAATTTATTATATGTTTTTATGTATGAATATATATTTATACACATATAAATGAGTATCTTTAAAAAGTTAAAAATGGAAAATTGAAATTATTTTTGGCAACTTTTTTTTATTACTTCATATGCAACAAGAGATTGGTTAAGAGATGTCGTAAGGTATTAAAAGATGAATAACGTAAAAAATAACGTGAAATGATAAATATATTAAAGATTGATATATGTTATCATTATAAATTATAATATTAGTATTCATAATATCATCATAATTTATTTGAACTTATTCATGATTTAAATTTATGTGATTATCAATAATTATACAATATTTCTTTGTGAAATTTTTATGTTTATGAATTTAACACATTCGCATTTACAAAACATGATATTTTTAATAAAATAATATTTGAAGTTTTTTATATAGATATTAAAATCAATATTTATTGATTTTAATGCTCTTTATTGTTTAAAATGAATTGATATACATATTTAGTTAAATATCATAAATATTTACTTGTATACGATAAATAATATTATTATATAATTATATAAATTATATTATTATATAATTATATTATTATATATTATATATTTTATATAATTATATATTATTATATAGTTATATTATTATATATTATTATATATTTTATATAATTATAATTGTTTTATATAATAATATTTATTATATAAAATATATATACATCAAATATAAACAAATATAAACAATGCAAAATATTTATAAAATAAAGAGAAACTTTGAAAAAGAAAAATTGTAAAATGACACGAGAGGGCACCATGTATATCGTCAAGGAATATTGCGATGAATCGAGATATCGAATCGAATTAAGTCAATTAAGAATGAAATTAAATCGATTTAAAGCACTATGAATTGAGAATAGTATGGAGAATATTGGCAGGAAGCTAGTAGATGGTTAACAGTAGATATTTATAACAATAACAAAAATAATATTACATGTAAGAAAAAATAGAAAAGAGAAGAGAGGAGTGTGCTTTCAGTAAAGCGACGCAATTAAAGATGAAAATGACTGTCAGAGCATTAGGACCTTTTCTTCGCTCTAATAATTTGTTACTCAGAACATTGAACGAAAATGTTGTTGCCAGTAACGGAATTAAACCCTTGGTTAATATTGAAAGGTAAGGTTAGTTTAATTAAATTCAAAATTATTAAATTCATTTATGTGTTTGGTTATATAATGATATCATAACCTATAAGTAATAGTTATTCTAATTCAAAATTATAAAAAAAACTTGAAATAGAAAATGGAAATGTATGTTGCAGTCAACGACGAGAAGCGCATCAATGGATGCCTGACTTAGACGAATATAAACATCTTCTAAAAAATGAATGTTCTAAAATATTAGCTACAAGAGAGAAGACATGGCCTTATATCAAGCCAAGCTGGAATGAACCACAAACAACATCTGCGCAATTAACATCGGAATATCGAAATGTAGTAATCAATTTTGGTCCCCAACATCCAGCTGCACATGGGGTATTACGATTGCTAATTGAGATGAATTCTGAATATGTAACTCGCGCTGATCCTCATATAGGTCTTTTACATCGGGGTACAGAAAAATTGGTAGAATATAAAACATATATGCAAGCCTTACCATATTTTGATCGTTTGGATTACGTATCCATGATGTGCAATGAACAGTGTTTTTCTATGGCTATTGAGAAACTATTAAATATTGATATACCCTTGCGAGCAAAATATATTAGAAGTAAGTAATAGATACTCATCGATAACAGGATTGATGAAAGATTACAGTGAAAGAACCAAAGAGAAAGAGAGAGAGAAAGAAAAAGAGAGAGATTGAACAAATAGTAAAATAGAAAATAGAAAAATAATATAATATATTACTATAATAAAAAAATGAAATAATAAATAATAAATAAAGATATTCATATGTTTCAGCTTTATTTGCTGAGATCACAAGAATTCTAAATCATATTATGAATATTGGAACGCATGCCCTTGATATTGGAGCTCTAACACCATTCTTTTGGTTATTTGAAGAACGAGAAAAATTAATGGAATTTTACGAACGCGTGAGTGGTGCTCGCATGCATGCGGCTTATATTCGTCCTGGTGGTGTTTCATTGGATATGCCATTGGGTTTAATGGACGACATATATGAATGGAGTTCGAAATTCGCTTTCCGATTAGATGAAGTAGAAGACTTGCTAACAGAAAACAGAGTATGGACTGAACGTACAAAAGATATTGGAATAGTGACGGCAGAACAAGCAATAGAGTGGGGCTTCAGCGGAGTAATGTTAAGAGGTTCCGGAATTCAATGGGATATAAGGAAAAAGACACCTTACGATGCTTATGACTTGATTGAATTTGATGTTCCAATTGGCTTAAAAGGAGATTGTTATGATCGGTAATAAAAAGAAAAAAATATAAAACGTTAAAAGTTGTTTATTTAAATCAGTCGCTTTTTCGAAAGAAAAAAATTTCTTTTAGATTTTTTTTTTGCTTCGTGATAAATTACATTTTTTTTTTTTAGATATCTTTGCCGCATGGAGGAGATGCGTCAATCATTACGAATCATTTATCAATGTTTGAATCAAATGCCAGAGGGTGAAGTGAGAATCGATGATGCAAAAATCGTACCACCTAGAAGAGAAGAAATGAAAACTAGCATGGAAGCATTGATACATCATTTCAAACTGTATACTCAAGGATTCCAAGTTCCTCCTGGATCAACATATACTGCGATTGAAGCACCAAAAGGTGAATTTGGTGTGTACCTCGTAAGCGATGGTAGTAGCAAGCCTTATAGGTGCAAAATCAAAGCACCAGGTTTTGCTCATTTGGCAGCATTGCGTCATATGGGTCCTAGATGCTTACTTGCTGATATCGTAGCTATTATCGGTACCTTGGATGTAGTATTTGGTGAAATTGATAGATAATTTATTTACTTGTTACTCTTACTAGATGTACTTCGTACATAGAAAATTTCATAAATATTGTTTTCTATTCTATATAACATAGAAAACATGCATAAATGAGAGAGAGAAAAAAAAATACAATAAAATGTATTCGTTATTGTTTTGATCGAAATTATAGTATGTTGATCCTTACCGATATCCTTAATCCTACATAATATAGCTTATAATTGAAAGGATCTATTATTATTATTTCATGCTGGAGATGAAGATTTCCTTAAACGGATAAACGGAAAGAATTAAAAAATAAAATTGAAAAAAGAAAATAAGGAAGAAAAATAAGAATATTAATATCTTGAGATACACACGTAGATAATGTAATATACATAGTAACAGGATATTTGTAGCGTGAATGATGTTCATCATTTACGTAATATATTTGAAAAAACACTATTCTATGAATAATTTAACTTTATCATAGTCATTTCCAGATTGTTGGAGATGTCCGGAAATGTCTTTCCATTTTCGCGAAATTACAGAGATTAATTTTCAATCAAAAGATCAAGGTTTTTGTTATTCATGAACCCATCATGTCTCGGACAAGGGTAAATATTTATTATACACAATTATTTGATAAATATTATATTATTATTTACATGATAAAATGAACAAATATTTAAATCATACTTTCTGCGCGTCATTCTTTTTTTCCTTCTTCCTTCTCATCTATTTGAATTGAATATTATGATCTATTAATTTACATTTCTCATTATTCATAATTAATCATATAATTATTCACAATTATTTCAATTAATTTAATTTTTCTTTCTTCTCTTTTTATTTTCAATTTTATTCTTTAATTTTTTCCGTTTATCCGTTTAAAGAAATCTTCATCTCCAGTATGAAATAATAATAATAGATCCTTTCAATTAATTTAATTTTTTTGAAATATCGATTTAATAGTTTATATTTTACATTAAAATAAAAAAAAATATACTATCATTCTCATGTTTTGATATCATTAATTTGTTGAATTATCTCAGAGCATAAAATGCGCAAATTCGTATAAAATTCTAAGAGTTGACAAGAAAACGAGAAAAGAAGAAAATAGAAATTTGGATTTATCGAAAGAAAAAAAAAAATTACTAACTAGATTAATAAAAAATGAACAATATTTACAAACGGAGGATTAAAAAAGAATGATGAGTTAGGATAGAATGCAGTAAGTAGCGTAATAACGATTTGTCAAAATTTGATCAAAAAGTCATAGGTAAAATATAACAGTAAGAAAAAAAATAGTGAAGAAAAATGAAGCACTAGACGAGAAAAAAAAAACAGAATAGTGACACAGTAAAGAAGATATAGTATGCGAAGTAAAGAGTGAGAAAGAAAGAAATTGGTTAGTATAGAATCGTAATAGAGGTGGGGGAATGTAGGCAAGGCGTAAAAGTGAGGAGGATGGAGACGAATATGACTGCAAAGAAGAATAGAAATAGAGAATGGGAGGAACAGAGAAACGGAGGAGAAGAATGGAGAATAAACGAAGAAGGAAGCGTGGAGTGGAGAAGTGGAAAAGAAAGAGTGGGGTAATGATAAATCGTTTACCTGAACGGCGAGCATGCCGTTCAGGATGCAGTGGAACGGTAAAAGAGTAGTACGTTCGGTTCGCTGCCGTGTAGTGTTTCGAGTGACTTTGTAGCGAACATTTCGTATAGCGAGAGAAGAGGAAATTCTATTCGATTTTGCATCGAATCCGATAGAATTTTAATTCTCTCGTGATTATTATATGAATGTAAATCGACTATACGTATAGCATATGTATTCGAAGGGTTGAAGTTGAATTTTATCGATACACGATCGACTCGCTCGTATTCGCTCGTTTTTATCGCGCGCGCGCGCGCGCACGCGCGTTCGTAAACCAGAGTATTTGAACGCGTAACAAGAGAGAATCGAAGCTTGTTCATCGAGGAACGTAAGAAAGAATCGGTCGAGGTTGGTTTACCGTTTGTCGTGCGGTGATCCTACGTATAAACGGAAATACGCAGGTTTACCGGGAGCCCAGGGGAAAGGTAGATGATCGTTTGGCCGCGTTAGGCTGCGTATTTTGCGTAGAGATCCTCTACCGTTGAACGGGGCAGTATCGTTTGTTCATTGGCGACGCGACGCACCGCCAGTGGCACACTTGTCGCTTGGAAAGGAGAATAAACTTTCTCCTTCTCGTCGTTCCTCGTACCACCGCCGCCTTTCGTCTCGTTCTTGTACGGGAAGAATTGCAATCAAAGGCTTAAAAGATAACATTGACGACGACGACAACGACGACAACGACGACAACGACGACGACGACGATAACGAAGACGACGAAGACGACGTGGGTGACGAGGACGAGGACGAGGACGGGGACGAGGGAGAGGACGAGGCCAAGAAGCAAAGCTAGAAGGAAGATCAAAACGAGAAGGAAAACGAGAACGTAGAAAGACGGTAGCGCGAGAACTATTGAGAAAAAATAAAACGAATAAAATTAAAAGAGTCGTGTGGTGATCCTTGATTACTTTCGAATAAGATTAAAGAGAGGTGACGTGCAGGTCATAACAAAAAGAGAACAGAGAGAGAAATTGGGAAAAGAAAAAAAAAAGGACGAGAAAGAAAGGAACGAAGAAAGAAGAAAGGAAAAAATAGGAAAAAGAAAAAGTGAACGTAAATTGAGAATAATTGGTTGATCAAGATGAGAGTACATCGTGGGATTTGCGCGAAACTTCAAGGTGGATTTCTTAAACGATGGTGTAAGTAATTGATAGAAAATAAATGTAAATAAGGATGTATTTGAAGAATAATTTACCAAAAATAATTTATGTTAGATGGTGAGGTCACGTGAAATTCGTAGCATAGGAGAGTATATTAATGGAATCGTTAAAGACGTTACCGGCGCCACGAGCGTCGTCACGTTTGGTGCGTTTTTTAATTCAATTTGGTGAACGTATCATCTCGTATGCTTAGATTGCGATGATTCACAGTGTTACGTCGTAGTTGTCATCGTGTCGGGTTAGGTTCTTCAATCTTTTGGATTCGGATTATATATCGGATCAAATTTGATAAAAAAGTTTTAAATGAAAATCGGTCGAGTTCGAACTCAAGCCAACGTATCGTTTACTTTCACTTGAAGATTATGGGTTTCGAACGGGAATCGTAGCGAATTACTTCTCGTTTCTCAATAAATCTATTTCATTTAATAACAAATATTGTGATAAAAACAGAAAGCATAAAAATTCCATAAGTGTGATTTGCATTAAAAGACGTTTGAAAAAAACAAAGTGTAGCAAAGTGTATTTAGAATAATTAGGATTATGGTAAAAAAGTAAGTATACATAATAATGTTAAATGATTGATGTGATCTATATCAAACGAAGCTGCGCGTGATATAATTCTATGTTATTCATAACGAATAATTAAATCAGAATGAGAAGTGATTTTATCAAAAAAGGAGAGGAAAACAGGAAGAATCAAAGATACTGATGAAGATAATAATTATGATGGAGAATTGTAAAAACTGAGTGATATATATATATATATATATATGTATATATGATTTCAGGATCTTGATCGATTTCTGATTAACTGATTATATAATTGTCTATTTGTTGATACGAAAGATAAAAAGAAATAATAATTAATAAACAATTGATAGAAGAATTATTTGATTTCATACATTGATTAAATAAACCAATTTTAAATGATGTTCACAGTTGGTTTCATTCGCTAAGCGTAAAACCTTCCGAGTAAGAGCAGGAAGCGTATGATCTTATATAATCACGAGTAATTGCCGGTTAACATGCGTAGATGGATTTTGTATAGGGTTTGGCATTTCAGAATAGTTAAGGGCCACTTAATAAATTCCCCGTAGAGGGTGATATATCTCGTATCCCGAAGCTTTCATGTGCAAACAGTTTCAACAAGCGAATTCGTATTCATGCGTATTCACATTTCCATAGTTTGCAACATGAAGAGTCGTATTACTATTCATATCGATCGATCGATTTCTTTGCAATGAAACGCAACGGCACATGACACTTCGGAGCTAGGTGGGGAATGGTTACGAATGGAATGAGGAAAGAGAAAAATAGGAAGAAAGAAACATGAAACGTATGCAATGGCAACATTTCCGTTCTCAAGCGAATGTTATTTTTTTTTTTCGAAATTTTTGTTCTAAATAGGATTTGATAGATCAATATTTAAACATTTTTATTATTGACAATACTTTATTATTGGAGGAAATTATTACATGTTTTAAAAATATTTTTTGAATTTTCTATTTGTGGTGAAATTTAATTATTTAAGATTTTTATCATCATGATTATTATTATTATTGATCAACGAAAAATAAAGTTTATCTTTTATACACAAAATAAAACAAAATAAAAAAAAGAATAAAAGAAATAAAATAAAATATTAAATAAAATTATTAAATAAAAAATTAGAACAAAAGAATGTTGCATTCCTTTCGATTTGATATCAGTGGCGATGGTGGGAGTCACGATGCGTGCGCGACTAATCGATATTGGATAATCGAGTCGAATATTTGCCTAAGAGGATAGAAGTATAATAAAGTTGGAACAAAATGGATAAAAAAATTTAATCGATCGATATGTTTTCGCGGTACATAATCGATTCGCGAGACGTTGAAAGGTAAATGTGATCGAAAGGAGCCACAATCGAGAAAAAAAATAACTTGTTCGAAGGTGAACCGCTCTCGTGGAACGTGACCTACGAAATTCCATTCTCGCTTCGATTTTGCGAGTTGCGTAAACAAATGTTCGAATGTGTGCGCGCTCGTTGATACACACACACACCTATTAACCGAAGCTTCATGTGATTGCGCTTTCACCTAAACGTAATTTCTTTGACGTGCTATGCGACCTCTCTTCAGTTAATGCGTAATCGAGGCATGAGGTGAACGTTAGAGACATTTTAATTTCTTTAATTCAATGTAATACAATATCCAATTTGTACAAAATAAATACATTTAAATGTTTTTTTACGTAGTGTATTGTGCAAAAAAAAAAAAAAGAATCGTGTAAAATACAAATAGGAAACAAATAGTTATAATAGGTCAATGTGAAAAAATTAATATTATATTGTAATGAAAAAAATTTGTCTCTAATCTTCCAGATTTAATATGCA